ATCAGAACTTAAGGTTTAAATCAGAACCTGATCAGCAGGTGAGTTTGTTATGGAAACACGTCACTGTTTCTACCAAAACAACAAACTCATTAGTCAACAACCAGAACCAGAGGAGCGGTTCTGACCCGCTGGGTTCTGACCCGGTCCGCTGGGTTCTGACCCGCTGGGTTCTGACCCGCTGGGTTCTGACCCGGTCCGCTCGGTTCCGACCCGGTCCGCTCGGTTCTGACCCTTCATGATGGGATTTCAGAACCACTTCTGGACCCCAGCAGAACCAGAACCAGGAGGAGGTTCTGTGGACCGCTGTCTGTTAGAATCAGCGGCTCAGAACCGGGTCAGAACCAGCTGGAGCTGAGATTTTGGGTCACTGATGGGCGTAGGTTTGATCCCAGCTTAGATAGGAACTCTGTTGGTCTTTAGTTTATTGCTGAAATATTCATGATCTTTATTTAAGCTCAATCTGAGCATCAGAACATTTAGTTTAAAGAATAAAGCAGCATTTCTGCTACATTAATATAGAACTACACTCACTAGATGCTGTTTATCGATGTGTAAAGCATCACTGGCTCTGATCAATCTGGAATTAGGACTTTATTCCACTTTGAAAAGGTTTATATTTAAACTAACCAGCGACTAAAACAGAAGGTAAATATTTAACCAAATCTAGTCTAAATATTCCTGTTATTTGTGGATTTATCCTCTTTTCTTTGGAAGATATAGAATGGTGCAGAGGTGAAACTCACTCTTTTTATTATCTAATCTGCTCTCTCTGTATCGAGCATAATAAAACATTAAAGGGTCGGTAAATAAATGTATTTAAATGAGCATTGGAACTATAAGAGGAAATGACACTGAACATTTCAAACATTAACTTTACTATACAACATCTGGGCTGCAGTTACTCTGTCGCACATTTCATGTATTTTATCAATGGATGAAACAATAAATCATATTAATCGATTATTTAAATAATCATCAATTAATTTAGTAATTGATTAATTAACTGGAGTAAAGGGCCACTAATGTGCCTTTAACCAACAGAGACCCACTTAGAGCAGGAATTATACCAAGATTGTAAAACTTTTAGTAAAAAATTTACCAGACATTAATGTTTTTACTAATTTAACTTATGGACGGTGTGGAAATCTAGAAAAATAGAATTAATGCAAATAGAGTTCCTCTGTTTGTCTCTATCCTATTTCTAGAAGTAGAATCAATTAAATAGAACCATTTTTATTTTTAACAATTTTAATCTTTATCATCCTTCTAATGTTGTTATGATCTATAAAATAAATAAAAACCTGTTATTTATACCTGAACTGCCGTCAAAATGAAAACATTAATATCAAATAAATATTGATAAAGAGAATCAGAAAAGTTAATAGTTTACAATCTTTATTCTGTCTGACTCAGAATATTTAGTTTTATAAAATAAATCCTAAAGTTGGTTTCTTTCATTTCCTGTTTTAGCGCAGATTATATTTAGTTTTTTAATTTACTACTTTAGCCTATTGATAACCGCGATATTCTAGCGTCATTTTTTAAATTATTTCGCGCTCCAATCGCGCGCAAACATACAGACTAGAAAACCAACAATCAGAAAGAGAGAAGCAGGAACTTAATGCAGAAAAATCAGAGAGTTAAACAGGATTTAAATCAAAGATCTACAGCAATGGCCGCCAGATAGATAATCAGCAATCTGCAGTTGGTGAATTATTGATCTCAGAAAAGCTTCTGACTCAATAAATCACAAAATATGAATTGATCAAATGGAGATTGTGGATAAACCAGCCAGGTGTGATCATCAGGTAATGTGTGCAAATGGCGTGTTTGGGCAGTGTTTGTTGTGTCCACTAGGGGGCAGCATTGGGCCATAATTGTGTTTCCTGCTAAGTTTCTAAAATACTTACATTTGTTTTGTTTGCAGATGATACTAACATCTTTTATAGGGGATTGATCAGCTTATGGCTGATATCAACTCTGAGTTATTTTTATTAAAGATGTGGTTTGATATTAAAAACTATCTTTACATTTGGATCAAACCAAGTTTATGTTGTTTGGAAAGTGAGAAAGTAAAACAAATGACGTATTCTGATAGATAATGTGGCAGCAGAGACAGTTAAGGAAATTAAACTTAATAATAGACAATAAGATTTTTTGGCAGATCTCATATAAAATACATTCAAACTAAAATATCTAGAAGTATTTCTATTCTCATCAAACATAAACATTTCCTAAATGATGCTGCAATCATTTTATCTATATCTGCATTCTGCAGCTTACTTGAGCTGCTGTGCAGAAATATGGCGCCTTTTAAACCTCGCTGTGAGCGTTAAGCACATTAAAGGAGCATCAGAATAATTCATCATCAGACTGTTTATAGAGTCCCGCCTCCAAAAACATCTGGAAGAATTTCACAAAGCTCAGCGGTGTGAAGATGTGAAGGTATGTATATGTTTGTTTACATGCATG